AATACACAACAAATATATCAAGAAATCAAAAGAAAACGGTTGAATACTCCAACACATTAATACAAACAATATTTTTATATGTGAAAATATTCTTAAAAACATAAAGTAATTGACGTAATTTTTCAGTTGATCATATGAATATACAATAGCGTTTCTGAATTCTTCTGGTTGCTTAGTTATTTATAGATATTTTGTTTCAATAAATTCATTTCGTTTTTTTTTTTTACCTTAAAAACTCCACACTAGAGGAAACGCTTCGTCTAAAACAAGTTTTCCTACTATATCTATATAGTGGATAAATTATCGTCTAAATTACGGAAAAATGAAAATAACACGTCCATCTCCTTTTTACAGATATATTGACCAAAATTACACAAAAAATATCTTGAAATACTAAATAAAATCGTCATTGGCTTCAATCATGACCTTCAAACGACTTCGCAATCTCCAGCAACACTTCCGGACGGTGTCATTTTTTAAAGTCATCTTTGGTGTGACAAGGAGTTTTTGTTGGTCTCTGGCTGAACAACTCCTCACATATTATAATCTATTAGGTTGTAGTCTGGGGAGTTGTAAGGGGTGACGTGGTCACATCAATAATCTTACCGCAATGACTGGGTTCTCTGCCTTGTGTGGCATGGTGCCCTGTTGCCAGAAATAAGGTCTTTCATCAGCCACCCACTTGACTCAGGACAGTACTAACTCCTCAAGACACTTGATGTAAACTTCCGTGTTAATTTGAAAAAATGAATGGAGGCATGATGTCTTCATCACTGGTGATCACGGATTTGGTATTTATTACACTCTGTGTATCTTTTGGGGACACAACAATCCGATGGCTGTTCGCCATCTTACCCTGGCAAAATTTTTATCGTCTGAGAGAAACCAAACCATGTTCGATTGGAGGGGATGCTTGGTTTTTTTTCAAAAGTTTGGTAGCGCGGTTTTTCCTCTTATCATTCAAGACTTGGGTTAAAATTAGCCCTTTCTCATCTTGTATGAGAAATATCGAATGTCTTCATGCAATATATGCTTGATAAGAAACTCGGACACTCCTCTGCCTCTGGCGATGGACTTGATTGATTGGTGAGATCCGTATCAGTCATAGCCTGAATCTTACCAACTAATTTGGGATTTTTTTTCCCCAATATGCACGTACATAGGTAATCACTATTAGACTCAGCCAAAGCTTTTCGAATCCTCTGCGCTCTCCTCAGATTGACAACCAAACACTATGTAATGTTCGTATTGGAGCCTTCACCGAGGATGCAAAATAGTATTGTATGCGCTTTCAAATTCCAGGCGATTAGCCTCACGGTGTTCTTACTGACCTTACTATACTGTACAGTCAGGAAAAACAAATAAAAACAACTCGTATGCGCCAAATATAAATAAAAATACCGACACACATACATATATATATATATATATATATATATATATATATATATATATATATGTATCTAATGGACTCCCCCATCGGTTTTAACGTATGAGAATCTGAAAACTTAACTGATTCAGTTATAAAATTTTGTTTGATAATCTTAAATGGTACTGAAGAACCGCTATTGATTTAAAAAGAATGCCGCATATGGAGCAAGAATAAAGATTGTGGGATGAGATGACTGTTAGATTGGCTGACATTTTAGATATAGATCAGGATACTTGAAGACGATTCAGACAAGCTGATTAAAAACTGCTTAGTCCACTAAAACACGGTGATCTCCATTTTAACATATATATATTTGAATCGAGAGTTGTTTGTTTGTGAGTGATTGTTTTAGTTCTGTGTATTTCAGTGGAAAATAATCCAGGCTAATATTATTTTTTACATTCTACAAAGTAGAGATCATCATTCTCAGGTAAGGAGAAAATTCTGTCAGAAAATTTGCATAGTTCATTTCGGATGAAATACGGTTCAGGTTTTCGCCATTCTTAAGTAAGTAGAGACAACTGGTAAGCTCTGTCGTACAAGCCAGTTTATACATAAGCACACACATCTCAAAATTTACCTATGTCAGAAAATTTTTTGCCTACCTCAGGACGCGAAACACATTATTCGTGTGTGCATTGTCACTTCCAGTTTATTTCCTCAATATCGTCTTGGGACCAAGAATTCCAATATTCATAGTGTGAGCCTCTTTAAACATGCCATCTTTCATAAAAATAATGATCATTTTTCATTTATCAATATTGCAAATTTCACACACACACACACACACACACACACACATATATATATTATTTACATTGACGCGATTCAACATAGAAGATACAATCATCATTAGCATCATAAATAAACATCTTAGACTTCACTTAAAAAAACAAGACCATCCATTTTGTTGAAAACGAAACTATCCAGTATCACACAAATTCCCTAGGAAATACACGCAGAAAAAATTAATGGCGTCGCTATGGTTTCAGTTTTGGCTCCAGAAATGTCGGTATTCTACATGCTGATATATATATATATATATATATATATATATATATATATATATATATATATATATATATATATATATATCTGTATCAAGAAATGATTGGAAGTGTGAAACATTTTAATAAAAACAATGTTTTCAATTTATCTCATTTCTTCGCTTTTCTTCGGTTAACGTTCTACGTCCTACAAACTCTCTCTCTCTCTCTAGATATATATATATATATATATATATATATATATATATATATATATACAGAGATAGATACATAGATACATAGATTACATACATATAGCAATTTAATCTCCCTCCATTTCTCTAAAAAGAATTTCTTGTAGGGTGAAATAGCTATTCAAATGGGGTAATTTTAATTTCTTTACGATGTAATTTAATTATTTGTATATTTTCTGTTAAAATAAATACATTGAGCTCTCGTTGTGGATCAGTTTAAATATTTTATATTATTAGGATTCACTTGGTTTATATACCTAGTTATTATATATATATATATATATATATATATATATATATATATATATATATATATATATATATATATATATATATATATATTAATTGTTATGGGATCTTACCCATAATAATAATAATGGACTATTACATACTTAATAAATACTGCGCCTCAGGAGTAGGCAAGGTGTCAGAGTCAGAGTCAGTAGTTCAAGTGGAGTCAAGAGTCGAGTCAGAGGCCATCCGAAACTAAGTCGCATTCAGACAATTACTACAAGACATTGGAATAATGATACTGGTCGAGACTACATTGTTCTCTGTATATATTCCTGTTTGTAATATATCTGTGTTATTCCATACCTGTGTCGAGTTCTTCTTTATTGGTTCTACCTTGGACTATCACCGTGGTACAAGGAACCGGACCATAACAATAATATAGAAATCGATAAATTAAATAACAAACATAATTTCCAGTTTCGACTCAGAGTTGGGTTGATCCTATTGTCAATAGTTCAGGAAAATAGATTCGCTGTTGAAATTAAAAGAGAATATACGGGAAAGCGAAATAAAAAGTCACATCCTCTCTTTACTTTTCTCTTAGTCTTTCTTTATCTCTCTTTCTTTCTGTCTCTCTGTCTCTGTCTCTGTCTCTGTCTCTGTCTCTGTCTCTCTCTCTCTTATATATCCGTCTGGATCCTATAACGACGCCCGAAAAGTTTCAGAAGTTTAGTGATTCATCGAAAACCTGTTGCGCATAATTGTCTTTTTCACAGTCAGTTTCCTTTATTTCATTTTGGTGTTGTCATTTTCAGGCATCCATGTCAACAAGGATTTAGGAAAACAGTTTGGCAAAAGTTTGCTTTGAGAACTTTACATTCTATGAGGCGTTTAAATGTTACTGACGAATGGGATTTTTCGCCGAATATTTCGTTTACGCGCCATATTGGATTTCCTATATGACAAAAACAACGGTTTTAAACAACCCTGATATATATATATATATATATATATATATATATATATATATATATATATCGTATATATATATATATATCTCTCTCCTCTGTCTCTCTTCATATATATATATATATATATATGTGTGTGTGTGTGTTTATATTTACATGTTTTATTAATCATGACCGAAAAGGTACTGTGCTCAAGATTTTTATTTATTTTTTCTGTGTGCTCGTCCAAGTTTTTTTGATTCTGGACACAAAATGTTTAAAAATTGTCTATAATTATGTCTAAGAGATTTCGACTTTTCTTATAGCCATTATCAAGAATCATTCTTTTTCCGATGAATTTGTGTTTTTTTTTATGTACGTGTTTCAAGTTATACATCATTTAGTTTGCAAACTCGGTTAGAAGTTTGTCTATGTAATCGTAATTAATGTTATTAATTGTTGGATTTTCATTTTTAATTATTAGGTATTGCATTATTCTAAATCTTTTTTTTTACGTGTGATTCAGTCTATTACACTTCTATTTATTAGGAGTCTGTTTCGATTTGCGTGTTTTTTCGTCTCTGTGTGTGTGTACTACTTGATTTATTGACCAACTGTAAAACAGATATCATGCGCAATCAGTTCAAAATCCACGAAGCTAATTTTAATAGTAAGTAATTCTTTTAATATCATGTAAAGCCAGTTTTAATGTTTCTCGTGAAGCAACAGAATATGATAATCGGGTTAATTATGTCGACCTACTTAAAGTTCGTATATATAAATATCGATAACTCAATCGACATAAATTTGGTTATGCGTCTCTCAGAGAGAGAGAGAGAGAGAGAGAGAGAGAGAGAGAGAGGATGGGGTTGTGAGAGGTCTATACCAGCGCGTTTGATAGGAAGCACATGTTCGCAAATTAGACATCTTTAATTTTGTCAATCATATTTTCTTTTACATCTTTCTTTCATTATTTGGTTTGTGGCTTACTTTTTCATGTTTTTCTTCTTTTTCTTTTCATAATTTTTTTCCTATATATATGTTTATATATATTATTTTTGCCTTTCTATTTATTTCCTTTCTTTCATTATTCCTTCATTCCTTTCTTTCTTTCGAGTATTTTTATTGAATTTCTGTCTGTTTTTATTTCATTTACTTTCTCTTTATTTATTCCATGCTTTCCTTTCTGCCATCCCATTCATGTGTATTTATTTCATTACTTCATGAGCAGACAAAATAAACCAATGCCTATTTTGAGAATTTTCTACGCAAAAAACAGGCTGTGAATAAGTAAATGGTTAGGTCAGTATAAATTACATATAAAATCTTGTTAGATTGATATACGTTTCTCATTTGTTCATTTAATTTATCATCCTATCAGATTCCGATCCATATTTGATCTGCATTTGAACATTAACTCTCACACACATGCACACACATACACACATACATACATAAATACATATGAATGTGTCTTTGTATGTGTGTGTGTGAGCCGAAAGCTTACTTCCAAATTAATAAAAAAAATATCGAAATGTTGGTCAATTTTTGTCTTTATTTTCACCAGAATTTAAAGCAAACATTCGAATACTAGAACAGCCCATGATCATATATATATATATATATATATATATATATATATATATATATATATATATATATATATATATATATATGTAAATATATATATATATATATATATATATATAAAATATATATAATCCCTACTTATATAATCCAAGTGAATCCTATTCATATAAAATATTACAACTGATCCACAAAGAAAGCTCAATGTATTTATTATAACAGAAAATATATACATAATAAACTTACATTGAACAGAAATTAAAATTACCCCATTTGAGTAGATATTTCACCCTACAAGACCTTCCTTTTAGGGAGAAATATATATTCAAATGGAGTAATTTTTGAATGTCTATTCTTTGTAATCTATCTATCTATCTATCTATCTATCTATCTATATATATATATATATATATATATATATATATATATATATATATATATAGTAATGATAACATATGGTAATCCGTATGTAATTTTCAGGAGGATATAGACCTAGGCTGATCTCTATGTCAAAAGACAGATCAAAATTATTATCAATTAAAGAATATCAAATACTTAAAATCCTATAGGTAACAATTTTTATTTTATGAGAGCTATAAAAAAAAGCAGCGCTCAATCTTCAAGGCCTGCAAAGTTAAAAAGTAATAAATACATCTAGGATATAAAGGTTTAGGACTGTATTTATATAAATTTGTAAATGTGTTTCTCTGAATATAATTAATAATCATTTAATTAAAATCTCTTAGGTATTTTAACTAAAATTTATTGGTTAATTATGCAAAATGCTTATACTTATTTACATTTAATTTTTAAAAATCTATTTTCGCTGATTGAAAAAAAACAATTAAATGTTCTGAATCAGATACTTTTTTAATATTATTCACAGAGAAATTGTTGAATAAAATAAAAGAGATTAAACCCGATCTAACTTTTCCTTACTTTAAAGTACAGTTATATCCTGATAAATATTAATAAATAAAATATAAATATAAAAGTTCAGAACATTTATAAATATGTCCATAACATTTATAAATATGTTTCTTTGTATATAATTAATAATCATTTATTTCAAATCTCTTAGGTATTTTAATTTTAATTTCTTGGTTAATATTATAAAAAGCTTAAGATTTTTTTTCCTTTTGCTAATTTCGATATCTTTAATTATGTTCTCTTTTATATAAAGGAAAATAATTTGTAGATTGAAATATATCAGTATTTAAATTGGGCCGCTGTCAGAACCAGACGGAATTGTTTCCAATTCACACGGAACTAAATAAACTTTAAACTCTTCAATCATCCTCAAATAATATGCTGAGATCACTATATCAAAATATATCAAAACTCTCTGTATTTTTGCACTCTTTAAATAAGCAATATCTTTTGATTTTATCCCGGAATATTTTTTCACTTCATGTGTGATTTGTGTGTAGGTCTTGAATAATGAGAGCTTGTTTTTTTAGAGCTCTCAGGAAATAAAATTTTGACCTATAGTATGTTAAATATTTGATGCATATATGCCTATATTATATATATATATATATATATATATATATATATATATATATATATATATATATATATATATAGATAGATAGATAGATAGATAGATAGATAGATAGATACATAGATAGATATTTTCCTTTTGAACCTATTGTGCAGATCACCGAAACTTACATAATTTGAATTTGTCTTCAAAATTTTTCGTCAATTTTTCTAACATCAGGATAATAAAACTTATCTTTTTACTCGTAATGTACTATTGACCAGCATATATACATATATATATATAATCAAGGCAAGACAAAACAAATATGCGCTAACTGCAATTTGGAATTTCCAGTTACAATCGCATATTTACATGATTTTTCTGTTGTTATGAAGAGCAATCAAATTGAAAAAAATAAGGAGTAGAAACGTTATCAAAAAATTAATAATCAAATAATCTACCCCCAACATTTTAGATTTTAATTGCTTTTGTTTGCGGCATATCAACACCACTATGGGTTATTTAATGCAGAAATCTAAATATTTCGTTCGCAATTAAGTGGCTTCACCTGAATATATTTTGAACGCAAGTTTATGCCTTCAACTACATATGTTTTTTACATAATTTTATGCCTTCATGTAAACGTATGTTTGATTGATATATATTTTGACTTGGTTGATTTTGTTTAGAGGTATATCAACACCGCTATGGGTTATTCAGTGCCGCAATCTAAATATTTTATAGACTATTTCATTGTTTTAACTACAGATAAAATTATTGTTGGTCATTTTGCTTTAGACTTGTATTGTTGGTATTTTTTTATATAAAACTATGTTTTTTGTATTTTTACTATAAAAATTTATTTTTATAATTTATAACTTTTTACCCCCCTCCTTTAACTGGCACCTGAGCAGGTGCTACCTGTCAGAGACAAGGTGGACATTAGAACAAGATAAATTAAATGGTTTGTCCCATGATCGTCAAAACCTCCAATCTCACGATTATAGTGATTGCTGCCGGATGTAGTTTAACGTTTTACCCAGAACTACAAAATCTTTAGAAAAAAGATTAAAATGATTGTCACTACGATGATTGGAAATTAAAAAAAAATGTTTAGAGTGTGAATAGTAGAATTAGTGTTCCTTTCTTTCATGCAATCAATTCCCTTCAGAACAATCATGTCTCTCTACCTTCCAATCTTATTTTGGCCAAAGTATTTTAACACTTTATCGCTTTCTCTCGCCCCTGTTTTCAATCAGTTTGGGGAAGAAAAAAAAACTCGTCATGCATGTTACGCGCTGCTTCCCCTGTTAATTTGGATTTCAGTCAATTTTTCGCATATTAAATTCTAAAGACTTTCTTTCATCATTATGAGTCCTGGAAATTTCAACTGTCTGTAAGTAAAATTTATTTGTCTTTCCTATTTTGTTTTTTAAAATTTCCTCTTCATTTACATATTCTTTCCGTAACATATTTACAATTCCTTTATAGTCCTTAACGTCTGTCGCTTCGGGTCGCTTTCATCTGTGAGGAAATTGTCCAGCTTTTACTGACGTACAAGTGCTTATATATTACATAGTGCTTCAGTATTATTGCCTTTGTTTCCACTGATATTTCCTTCTGATATTTATCTCTTACTATTACACTTTTCGGATTACTGTATCACATTTTGTGTTTTACGTGCATCCTGGATAAGACGATAAATTACATCCGCGTCCTGGATAAGACGACAAACTACATCCCCGTCCTGGGTAAGACGATAAAGTACATCCTCTTTCTGAGTAAGACGATAAACTACATCCCCGTCCTTGGTAAGACGATAAAATACATCCACGTCCTGGATAAGACAACAAACTTCAATCGCGTCCTGGGTAAGACGATAAACTACATCCTCGTTCTGAGTAAGACGATAAACTTCATCCGCGTCCTGGGTAAGACGATAAACTACATCCGCGTCCTGCGTAAAACGATAAACTACATCCTCTTTCTGAGTAAGACGATAAACTACATCCCCGTCCTTGGTAAGACGATAAAATACATCCACGTCCTGGATAAGACAACAAACTTCATCCGCGTCCTGGGTAAGACGATAAACTACATCCTCGTTCTGAGTAAGACGATAAACTTCATCCGCGTCCTGGATAAGACGACAAACTACATCCCCGTCCTGGGTAAGACGATAAAGTACATCCTCGTTCTGAGTAAGACGATAAACTTCATCCGCGTCCTGGATAAGACGACAAACTACATCCCCGTCCTGGGTAAGACGATAAAGTACATCCTCGTTCTGAGTAAGACGATAAACTTCATCCGCGTCCTGGATAAGACGACAAACTACATCCCCGTCCTGGGTAAGACGATAAAGTACATCCTCTTTCTGAGTAAGACGATAAACTACATCCCCGTCCTTGGTAAGACGATAAAATACATCCACGTCCTGGATAAGACAACAAACTTCATCCGCGTCCTGGGTAAGACGATAAACTACATCCTCGTTCTGAGTAAGACGATAAACTTCATCCGCGTCCTGGGTAAGACGATAAACTACATCCGCGTCCTGCGTAAAACGATAAACTACATCCGCGTTCTAGGTAAGACGACAAATAACATTCACTTCTTGGGTAAGACGATAAACTACATATGCGTCCTAGGTAAGACGATAAACTACATCTGCGTCCTGGGTATGACGACAAAATACATCCGCGTACTGGTTAAGACGATAGATTAAATCCGCTTCATGGGTAAGACGATAAACTACATTCACGTCCTAGGTAAGACGATAAACTACACCCGCATCTTGGGTAAAACTATAAAATACATCTGCATTCTGAGTAAGACGATAAAATACATCCGCGTCCAGAATAAGACGATAAGCTACATCCAATACCAAGGTCTCTGATCAGAAGTGCTCGGGTCAACCCTGAGCCGGATATGTAGCACCTTTTAGGGCCCCAGCTATGAGCAAGTAGTTAACACCCAAAATCGGGTCAAAAAACTATTGAAAGTGTAAAAATAGTTTTTAATACCAATAATACATTTTTGTACAAATATTACCGACAATGAATTTTTGGAAAAAATTATTACCAGTAATACATTTTTTTTTTGGAAGAAAAAATATAACCAGTAATACATTTTTGGAAAAAAATATTACCAAGAATAAAAATCATGTCGGCGTTAAATAACCCATTGAGGATGATATGCCGTAAAACAAACCAAACCAAACTAAACCAAACCAATCTGTTTTTCGTTACTACAGTATTCTGGTAGGTACAAACATGAATACGTATCGACATGGGTGCATTTTTGTGCTTTTTGTAACAAAATCATTTATGGTCGAGCCTGTTAAGGCATCATGATGTCGGAAGCGGTTATTTTGTGCAATGCATATTACTTTCACTGTCAGTCTTCTATTTAGAATATATGTATGAAAAGCGACAGTTGGATGAAGCAATGCCCAGTAAAACTAATAGATAAAATATTCCACAGAGAATACATTTAAGAATATGTCTTTAACTTATGTGAAGGCAAAACGGTCCGATCCATCAATATTTTATTATCTTTTAGGGCATTTTCTTCTGGATAGTTTAACAGTTACCATCTTTCCAGACTTTATAATATTTCATATTCCCTATTTCCGATACTGATTAATTATCTTCGATTCATTTTTCATGAGTTTCATGATAAAGTATAAAAATACTTTCGTATGCATTTATTTCCCCTTTTTGCCTGAAAAAAATTATTGTTGTTTTTTCAATTCTATGCTTCTCTCTTAGTTCTTTGAATTCTTAACTTTATATATAGAACATTTTTTTTTTACTTATTTAATTTGCTTGGATTTAGACTGTTTATTTATTCACGTTTTCTTTCTTGATTTCTCTAATATATTTATTTTCCCTCATTTTCTCCTCATGAGATATTTTCTAGTCTTTCTATATTTTTCTTTCTTTCTTTCTTTCTTTCTTTCTTTCTTTCTTTCTTTCTTTCTTTATTAGATCATTTTTCCTATTATATTCCGTCAATTCACCCAATACATTTTCTTCATGAGAATAAATTTATCTTTTCTATTTTTGTCTGCCATTTTCCTTTCTTGTTTGTCTTCTTTCCTTCTTTCTTTCACTCTTCAATTATTTTTTTTCTTTATTTGTCCTTATTTTTCCTGATGGGCTACTTTCTTTATTAACTGTATCTTTCTATCTTTCTTTCTGTTTTCTTATATTTTATTCATAAAATAGTTTTTTTTTCTTTTTCTATTTCTTTCATTTATTTATCTTCCTTTCACTCGTTTCTTTCTTTCTTTTTTCTATTACTCTTCAATTATTTTGTATTTCTTTATATTTTCCTTACTTTTTCCTTTTTAGCTACTTCCTCTTTCTTCTCTATCTTTCTTTATTTCTTTCTTTATTTTATTCATGTTTCTTTAATTCTTTATAGATTTTTTCTTTTATTTTTATGAGAATTCTTTGATTATTTCTTTCTTTCTTCTAGTCTTCAGTTATTTTGTATTTTTTTATATCTTCCTTATTTTTCCTGATTAGAAATTGCCTCTTTTCATATTTTTCTTTCTTTCTTTCTTTCTTTCTTTCTTTCTTTCTTTCTTTCTTTCTTTCTTTCTTTTTTCTTTCTTTCTTTCTTCCTATCTATCTATCTATCTATCTATCTATCTATCTCTTTTCTTTCTTCTGTTTTCGTATTCCATCATTTCTTTGTATATAAGATTTTCCTCCTGATTTCATATTTATATTTCTAATTTTATCTATCTTAAATTTCTTTCCTACTTTCTTATTTTGTTTCTGCAATATGCATTTTTGTTTTGTCACATTCCATCTCTACTTTTATCATATTTTTCTCTATTCTTTCTTTATATACTTTTACATTTCGGCTTATAAATAACATTTTTTTCGATTTTTTTTTCCAATATTTCTATTTTTAGTCTTCATCTCTCTTATTTTAAATCGTCCTTCAATATCACTTTCTAGGACTCAATCCATATTTCATTTTAATATATTTATTTTCCTTCTTCAATACAGTTTCCTCTTTTCCACCTAATTGTGTCTCTCTCATTCTATTTCCTATAATTATCAAAGTTTTCGTTAATTCTACTTCCTGTTTTTAATCTTATATTCACGATTCATTCTTACTTTTTTTTACTTACTATATTTGTCCTTATTTCTTACATCTTTTCCCTACTAATTCCTCTTGTTTATCGTTTACTCCTTTCTAAATCATTCTAACTATCCTTGCTTCTTCTTCCTACTTCTCCCCATTTTCCCTTCATATGACGTTATATTACTGCGCACCACTTTGTCCAAAATATCTGTACATACTAATATCTCTCCACAGTGTTCAACTCACTCACTCTCTCTCTCTCTCTCTCTCAATAAGCCCAAACCTTTCAAGACCCAAACCCTGATCCTCACAAATCAGAAACCCATATCCTACCCTGCTCACTCCTTCTTCTTTTCGTATCTCTCTTCCCTTTTCACCCACTTCATTGGCAATCAGGGAGGCTATTTTGTCCCTAAATCCCTTGATGTCAAGAAAGCCACTTGTGCCTGGACAAATTACTTATGGTGACCCATGCCCGCCCAGTCATGAAACGAAGAATCAGTCGCTGTAGAATTGGTCCAACGGTCCAGGAAATAGCCGACAGTCGACATACTGCATATAGCCAAGGCTTGTGGTGTCCGCCTGTAATTGGTGGGACGGATTCTTGACCTTTCCTACGGGATCTAATACGACTGCTCTGACGCACGTAGCTATACACTGATATGCGTACATGGATATGCATTCTTTCTTTTGCGTCCAGGGAATGATTATTGGTAAACGTCATGAGAAAATTTTTCTTTTTGACTGATCATATTTATAAGAGATTGATTGCCGCAAATCTTTCTTCTAACGCTTATTTTTACAGTTTTCTAGCCTAGCAAAATCAGAAGTTCCCGATTATATTCTTCGCGATATTTATCTTCTAAATTTAAACGAAATTTATCACAGATCTTTCAGAACATAGGCATTATTACAGGTCGTCTTAGAGTTTTGATATTTAATTTCAATATACCGATTTACTAATAACTGTGTACCTGTGAATTTAATTTGGAAAAAAAAATCCTGCCAGATTTTAAATTTAGCCGTCGCTTTTAAGTAAAAGATTATGACGAAAGAGAGACATTGGGGAAGTAACCAGATTCGTTTGGAGATATGAAAAGCACTTAAAAATAAAGGTTAAGGGTGGCGTGTTTGGAAATGTGCCTAAAACATTAAGGGCAAGAATGGATGATTTAAGAACACAAGAACATTTTGAAAATTTCCAGAAACAGCATTACTGAGATTTACAGGTATAATAAACGAGACATTTTACTCAATGCATCAGATAATAATAATAATAATAATAATAATAATAATAATAATAATAAAACTCTTGATAGTGTGCCACACACTTTGGAAATGTACAAAGTCTCCTCAGTAATAGTAAATTTCCTTGAATATACCATGTAAGTGTGGAAAAGCACATTATTTTACTTTTATATTTTTCATCATTTTATCCCAAGCAAGGCGTAACTAACGCTGGTATGCAAGGGTTTACAGAGAATGGACGTGGGAAAAAAAGACTGGTTAAGGTGAACCGAGGAATGGATAAAAACTGAACTGGGTTCAAGGGAATAGAAGATGGTGAATGTCGTTGCATTTGAATTTTTGAAAATTGTAATTATCAGGGAAAAATAAACGGAAAGAAATTCCACAAGCGGTAAGTGCGAGAAAAGAAAATGTTGGAGTAGAAGTGGCATTTGAATGTAGCTATTTCAACAACAGTACCTAAATGTCACTAAAGGTGCTACCACTTTCAAATACTTGAATATCTGACGAGGAATCTTTCAAAGAGGCTCCCTGTCGCCTCTTCTCTTATGTGTGTCCTTAATCCCCAATTTTGCATGACCTAACCGTAACAGCTATGGATAAAATTAAAAAGGAAAGTGTTTAATCTCCTATTCTTCATGGATAATATCAAACTCTTTGCCAAATCCGACAATAGATCAAGATTTTGTCCCGAAGATTAGGGAACTGGACGAGATAAATTCCTATGAGTCAACATACCTAAATGAAGGAGAAAATGAATAAAGAATACTATATGAGTGTGCGTCTGGCGTTAAATACCAACTTGAATTCTCAAAACAGAATGTCATTCACAAACACTTTGGCTGTGCTTGTAGTGCAATACAGTTTCAACCTCCTTAATTGGACCATAGCTAACATTAAGCAATTGATATCAAAACAAGAAAGGCACCGCATGCATTATCCTAAAGAAGATGTTGACCTTCTGCATGAGCCTAGATCCGAAGGAGGAAGAGGATTAGTTCAACTAGAACTGTCTTAAAAACCCTCAACAAATAGTCTTCAAAGATATCTAGAAAATACAGAAGACTAGATGATGATCTGTGTCAAAGAACATGAAAGGAAGCCAACAAATTTAAAAGGGAATTTCAAGTGCGTAGAAAAGTACAAATAAAGCATAATACACCAATTATAAAAGACGAAAATGAGTTGCAGTGGATCGTCAATACAGTAAAACAATTTTCAATGATGACAGCGGTATGAATTTCGGGTTAGATAAATATGCATAAGTAATATTCAAGAAACGAAGAATTACAGAAACACTCTTAAAAGATTTAGGTATTGTTCCAAAAATTAAGGGACTGAGGACAAAAAATCCTCTAATTACCCTGGAGTCAGCGAAGGAGATGGAATATAGAATCCCCAAATGAAGGAAAATTAAGAAAAGAATACTAGATGCGTGTGCATGTATACGGAACGCAATTCACAAAACAGAATATCAACCATAAACACTTTAGCTGACCCTATGTTGCAATACAGTTTTTAATAGGAACATAGCTGACCTGAAGCGAATTGATTCTCACTTGCCACTCCATACATCATCCTGAGGCTGATGTTGATCGTATGTATGTGTCTAGATCTGAAGGAGGCTGAGGATTAGTTCAACAATAACTGTCTTACAAAACACAACAATTGTTCTTCAAAGACACCGGGAAACAACAGAAGAATGGATGATGATCTGTGTCGAAGAACAGGAAAGAAATAAGAAGAAAGCCAACACATTCAAATTCAAGTAGGTGAAGAAGTGTAAATAATCCATAATACACCTACTGCGGTGACATATAAACTACAAATGAAAGCAAATGTAATGTAACAAATGCAGAAATGATCGCAAGATAAGCCTTTTCATAGTCAATAATTTGCCAGTTACCAAACAAGCTGATAGAGACAAACCCCTTACCCATATGTGGTTACATAGCGCAGCTTTAAAAGCTGATCTCAAAGGTTTTTATTCTTACTGAAGAGGACCGATATTTGGTAAAAAGGAATTACCAAGTACAAATAATGTGAAAAATTGTGTTAAACCGAAATTCAGATTCTATGATAAATATCCAGAAACAATTGACCATCTTATATCAGGTTGCACAGTGTTAGCACTAACGGGATATAAAATTCGGCCTGATATAGTGGAAGTTTATCTGCACTGGAAAATATGAAACTTTTACGGGGAGAAAATGACAAGAAACTGGAATGAACATCACTCAGGTCTGGATACGGAATTATGATCTGCAATAATTTGATGAGACGCAGACAGAACAATCAAAATTAATCGCTCAGATATCGTGATCAATAACAGAATGTGCTTTATTCATGACATGCCAGTCACTGCAGATTTGAATGTATCTTTGAAGATCTTTAAAGTAACCTATCAAAATACAAAGATCATGAAGTGGAAATCACATAAATGAGGCACATGTGGACATAAAATATTGAAGTTGCAGCCGAAGCCATCGGAGTGATTGGTAAAGATTCCGATTGGCTCAGTGAAGAGATTCCTGGTAACATAAGCCTTAAAGATATACAAATAATTATACTCACAAATAAGGCTCACATATTACAAAGAGCATTACCTATGTAAAACGTATCTTATGTTAGTTTTTTGTTTATCTTTACAAAGATCAATGGAAGAAGCCTTTTCTGACATTTGTCGTCTGGTTTGGACCCGGAAGGAAAGGTGTTTACAACAAAAGCTCAAGGAAATAATAATAATAATAATAATAATAATAATAATAATAATAATAATAATAATAATAATAATAAACCGATAATATGTCTCTCCACAACGTATAACTTGATCACATCTGTACTGACGAACCGTACTTATTCCTTTCTCGAAACAAACAACACTCTCCCTCTGGAAGAGAAGGGATGCAGAAGAGGTTCATATGGCTGCAAAGATCAACTTCTGATAAATAAAATGTTCCTGGAAAATTGCAGCAGACGACGTAGGAATCTAAGTGCAGCGTGGATTGATTATCGTAAAGCCTTTGATAGTGTTCCACATTCTTGGATCCTTAGGACTTTGGAAATTTACAAAGTCTCCCCTGTGGTATTAAATTTTCTTAAGCACAGAATGGGAATGTGGAAGACCAAACTATACCTTAGTCACAACGGGGGCACTGCCATATCCAACCGTCTGCATATCCGACGTGGAATCTTTCAAGGAGACTCTCTGTCACCCCTTCTATTTTGTTTATCCTTAATCCCTCTTACACATGAACTGAACAACAGTAGCTATGGTTACAAAATAAATAAGAAAATATTCAATCACCTACTCTACATGGATGATCCCAAACTCTTTGCCAAAGACGACAATGAGTTGAAAGGCCTCCTCAATATTGTAAAATACTTCAGTGACGACATAAGTATGGACTTCGGATTAGATAAATGTGCAAAAGTAACTTCCAAGAAAGGTAGAATTACAGAAACACCCTTAATACATTTAGATTTTGTCACAAAGATTAGGGAACTGGAGCCTGATGAAGCTTATAACTACCTAGGAATTAGCGAAGGAGATGGCATACAACACCCCCAAATGAAGGAAAAAATAAGAAAAGAGTACTACAGGCGTGTACGTCTGGTACTAAATACTGAGCTAAACTCAAAAAATAGGATATCAGCCATAAACACATTGGCTGACCCTGTGGTGTAATACAGCTTTAATGTCCTTTACTGGACCATAGCTGAAATTAAGCGAATGGACGCCAAAACGAGAAAGCTTCTCACTTGCTATCGCATGCATCATCCCAAAGCTGATGTTGATCGTCTGTATGTGCCCAGATCCGAAGGAAGCAGAGGATTAGTTCAACTAGAACTGTCCCACAAAACTACAACAATTGGCCTCCAAAGATATCTGGAAACTACAGAAGACTGGATGATGGTATGCGTCAAGGAACATGAAAGTATTAAGCGTCTTTACTCCGTAATGGAAGAAGCCAACAAATTCAAAATGGAGTTTCAAATGGGCGTAGAAATACATCTACAGCACAATACACCGGCTGAAACTGAAAAATATCTAAAAAAGATAGCAAAGACGAATGCAACCGACCAGATACAGAAGCGATGGCAAGATAAACCGCTTCATGGCCAATACTCTGACGTAGATAAAACCCGTACCCATCAGTGGCTACGTAGTGCAGGGTTGAAAGCGGAAACTGAAGGTTTTATCCTTGCTGCGAAGGACC